GGGTCATTGGATGTCATGGGGAAAAGATTCCAGTTGAAAAACTTACTAATAGAACAAAGGAAATCTTTGTCCTTGGATGGAGTAGCAAGAGTGGAGCATACTACATAAAGGTGATTAAAGTTTTAAAGTCAACCTCTGAAATCCCTTTGAGGTATCAGACTAAAAAGAAAACTTGTGTGCTTCAGATCTCAGTTGCAATGTAACTTTAGTGTGTCACTCTCCATTTAAAAAGTCGTCGAGTAATCGGTAATTGTTAGCTTTAAGTGGGTAATGTGACTGATTCATAGAACTGACTAATTTAAATCAAATATGCCTCTGTTGTAGTCTATTACGACTCCATACAAATAGTGTGCGACTCTATTTACTCTGTTAATTGTACACGATGAAAGGAGCAATATCATATTGCTGATGATGATGATGATTCTTGGATTTGTAATAATTATGATCCATGGATAGCCCAGGATTTCCTGATTTTTTTTATAGATTATTATGGGAGTCCAATCAGATAAGTCGATATGAATCACTCAAAGAGAAAAGTATTCACAACCAAATGAGTTCTCGTTTTCATGATCCTAAGCAATTTCCTCTGTTACATGAGAAAAATAGATTTCGTTTTGTTTTCTAACCAATAGGTGGTTGACCCAATCACCATTTTGCAGGGAAGAATAATAAATCTGGGAGTAAGTTGCCCGCAGCCTCCTTCTTACTTCAAAGAAGGCTGTCTACTCTTCAAACTGGAAGGAAACATCAGCTGTAAGCTTACGTTTGGAAGACTTTTACAGAAATTGCAAAGTAAAACTTTCCTTACTGCGTCAAACCATCTGCCTATGTTGTTGGGTTACTTTGCATAGAATGTCTGTTTTTATAACGGTTGAAGTTCAGCCGATGAAATACTTTCAGACGGATTGCTCAGAAAAATTGTGCACTTTTCTCAAAGCTTTCACGCTGGTTAGCATCTTACCAAGTGGATGATGTTATTCAGCCTCCGTCCACCAGGCCCTTTGTACCAACTTTTTATAAGTTAAAATATATATTCTTTCATTTTCTCAACTGGTTTGGAATGCATCAAAGCCTATCCTAAACCATAGATTTTGTTCGGTATGATGAGCGCCTTTACCGAAGTCATCCTTAACGTAAGGAATGGGTCTGGCGAACAGATGTAAATGAACTTATCTCCTAACCGAACTGGTTGATTTTCAGGTCCCGTGGAGTACATGGTGGAGTCAACACTTAGTCCTGCAACTTCATCGTTACTGTATTCATCACCTTCTGCGGTACGATTACCTTAGATACACTTTAAATAGGTACCATAGCAAACTTTTTATATCATCAGAACCCTGATTTAGAAGTGGAAAGTGTGAGCGTGATCTAAACGTATTTAACTTCTCGTTGGGCGATTACAGTATTTAAAGTTACCAACACCATTTAAGTTATTCTGAGAAAACATAGTGAGAACCTGTGATTGAGTTTCCTGCCATTATCTTCATATGCATAACCGTCCTCCCGTCTGATCGAAAAGATGTACTGAATATTTGAAGGATTAAATGACGAGGATCACTAGAGAGCTTCACCTTTTTCCTATGGCTAAAAATACCTTTATATAGCAGATTCTTAACACGATAGTTATCCATTTTAATTGTTTATATCGACAGAGCCCTACAGCGACGAGCACTGAGGAGACAATTTACCTAACCCAGGTATGAGCATCTCAACATACCCTTGCACACGAGAGCAAATTTGTAAGTTGACTAAGATGCAACTGAGATTGTCTTGTAAGTTGAGAAAAACAAGGAATGTGTACTCATGCCTACTAGTAGGCTCGTCAAACTCATAAAGTTTAAATATATAGTACGGTTAGAGGAGAATTTTCATAACCGAAGGGTCATATAATTGAATAACGATTTGCATTTTAAGATTTAGAGGCTTTATATTGGAGGGGCGTGTACTTGGAATGTCACAGTGTACTGCTGACAAGAAATTGTATTTACCAATGAGGGTAGCGTAGAACAGGACATCTATTTAGCAAATTAACCAAAAACAAGTAACTTTTAATTTGTGATTATGGTTTCTAGCAGACAACTTCAGAGACAGAATCAGCCACCAGTAAAGGGACTAAAGACACAGGGACAAATAGTGCCGTGATTGGCATCGCTGTGGGGTGTGCAGTTGTGTGTGTTATCTTTCTTAGCGTTCTGGTTTTATTTTGCAAGCGAAGGAAATCGTAAGTGTTATATATATGCTTTTTTTTTACCCTTGACTCATCATCTCTTTGAATAGATGTATGAGGACGGTTTCAGATGTGATAGGGCCATCATGTGGTGCAAAAAATAAGTAACATTTGAGGCAAATAGTTTTTAAAAGAATATGGGAAGCACTTAAAGCGCAAAAAGGCTTGACAAATATGAGAAATTTGACTGGTCAATATAAGTGCATGTGATAATCAGATTTGATTGGTCAAATAAAAAATTAACTTCCTGAAAGTATCTTCACATCATTTAGTTTATTCACTTCCTATAATACAATGATTCTGACATCTGTCTAAACTATTGATAATCACGACTGTTTTTGATCAGTTTTGAGCAAGATTTATTGTGTGCATTTTTTCGCTTAAGCAAATTTGCTTCTAACTCAAATTGTTTTTAAATTGGTTCCATGTTTACAAAAACAGAAGCATTGGTTTTACCATTATACTACGTGTTCTTAGTATATTATTTACTCGAATTACTCACACAGAAAAAACAGACAGCAAGAAACAAAGCCAGCAGGTGATTTAAAAAATGTACCACTCCTTTCATTAAGAGATACGCACATGAAAGATTTATTGGCCTGTAAACTTAAGTAGAAAATTAAGTCCATTAAGAATTGCAATCAGCGCTTAGGATGAAATTCCCGGCTGCCGACACCTAAATTCACGGGCAGCATAGGGGTATGTGTATTTTGAAAGAAGGATTCATATTGATTGGTATCTTTTGCTGGATACTGAAAGCAAAGCAAACTGGGAAAAGGTAAAAGGAATTGAAACAAGGCCATGCATGGGATAAATACCTCAGGTTCTTGAAATGGATCGGAGAGTTTGAGACTCTGAGAGAGTTGCATCATTATGGGTCTCAAATGCGCAATTAAGGTATTTTTTGAAGCTCAAACATTTAGACTGGCATACCGTGATTGTTGTTAACTAAACAAAAGCATTAAGTTGACGATAATTGTCTCTGAAACACTATGGTAACTTTTTTTGAAAGAATAATGCGAGTCTAAAATCCATAAAGATTATTCCATAGAATCATATATCATAGAGATAGCTTTTGACAAAATTATATTTTCTGTATTAGTTTATAAATATGGCGTTTGATCTTAGTTGCTGGAAACCCAGTGGGTGAAATTCACGATCAAATTCCAATTGGAAGACTAATGGAGCACGTCTCAACCTCCGCTGAACAAGACAGTCAATCGACATACCAAGGACTTATTAACATTTGTGGTAAGTCAACAAAGAAGAACTGAGATCGTTTTTGGGTGGTCTCTATCAAAAAAATATTGTGATCACGATGTTACGACAAAACACACCTGGGATCGAGGAAATTCACAGGTATGACATGATGGCTTCATTATGTACAGGATTAAAACCAGCTGAAAAACTTTAAAAGAAAGAGTCACTGGATCAATTTTTGATTGGTATACATGAGCAATCAAGGTCGTTTCCGATGGAAAACTTAAACAATACTTTATATTTTTTCCATATTCACAACAGGACAAGGTAATGTTAGAACTGGTCACAGAACTGCTGACGATAACTCTGGTAACTGCCATCTTTACCAAAGTTTGGACAAGAACACACCTGTTACAGCTGCACCAGATTACCAGAATGTGCAAACACTAGTTGCAGCATCAGATTACCAAAATGTGCAGACCCTGGAAGGTGGTTTACCATGTGCATCAGTGCACATCCTCGGGTCTCAAACAGAATCTGCCTATGAGCCTCTCAAGGGGCCTGAAAGGCAAAATTTGTACGAGCCCCTTAATGAAAGAAGCAACTGAATTGCCACGGGTCTTGAGGTGAAGAAAAAGAAGCTATGTTTGGTTAAAAGTTGATTTGAATCCGTTGTGGTAGATTCTTGATAAAACACAATGTGTCGAATAGGGATAGTGGAAAACTGTTAAAAGTTTATTTGATATGATTTTTATTACATTTTTATCGTAACAGAAGTTAAATAATTTTTATGTAGAATATAGTTTAAAACGTGTGCTGTCGTGCGTAATTAAAAAAATTTGATGAGTGATACTGATTATTACACCGTATATATAGCACATAACAATCTTTCTAGACCTTCCCTATAGCTTGCATTGCTCAAGGCTTCGTACTACAGCGCTCAAGGTGAGAGCTAAGATTACTGGCCATACTTCCTGATACCCTCGATGTGGTTTAGTCAGAGATGCACTCGAAATATGAACTGTAAATTCTAGTCGAACTAAATGGTGCTTAAAGTTGAAGCTCTTTAATCAATATTCGTGGAAAATTTTCCGTTTTTAAAAGATATCTATTAACTTCGAAAAATTTTAAAAATGTTGTTTAGGTTTGTGCACAACTTGATTTCCGTTACAACTTGCGCAGATCGATGACAAACCTTACAGACTCGTCACGGTTAAAATACTTGAAAGTAAGCTCAAGGAGAAGAAGGGGTTCGGGGGTGTATTCTGGCTGCATCAACTTGAAGCCAACAATTTCTCTTAAGCAAAGAAAACAATGTATAAAAACATTGTATCTGTCAGCCAGGCCGTCCCTTTATAAGCTGGTCTCACAGCTCCAGTTGCAGGCACCGTTGCAGACATCAGTTGCAACACCAAATTACCAAAATGTGCAGACACCAGTTGCAACACCAAGTTACCAAAATGTGCAGA